AATTAGAGAGAGAATGAGAGAGAGAGATCTTCCATCAGCTGCTTCAGTCCCCAAGTGGTCACAATGGCCAGAGCTGGGCTAGGCCAAAGCCAGGAGCCTGGAACTCCATCCAGATCTCCCATGTGGGTGTCAGGGACCCAAACATTTGGGCCATCTTCCCCTGTCTTCCCAGGTGCATCCAGGGAGCTGGATTAGAAGTGGACCAGCCAGGACTTGAACCGGCACCCATATAGGATGCTGGTATCCCAGGCAGCAAATTCACCCACTGTACCACAACTCAGGCTCTATCCTCGGTTCTGTAACAGGGTGTTGACATAACCTTGCCCAACCTGGAAAGTTGTTGGTATAGTTTAAGTGATGCATAGAAGATCCCCTTCCCTCCTCTCTGTCTTCTTCACACACACACACACACACACACTTGAAATGAGCAGCAACATTTCTCAATCTCTAGACTCCACTACAATGCTAGGATCTTAACTCGGCAGATGCGGTGACCTTGAGGAAGAGGATGTGAACATCCCCTTGTGTCCTGTCCCAGGGACAGAGGGCATGCCTGAGAGCAGGTTTCTAACAGACAGGGCGCCTACACTCCTAGGGTGTATGTGGCAGACCAAGACACCAGAGAAGTCAGGAGATTCCACCGACAGGGTGCTGGGGGAGGGTGCGTGCCTGCCCCGGGACCTGCCTAGCAAGGCCGCTGCAGGCTCTGGGGGCAGACGGGGCCTCCACTGCAGACCAAGCTGTGGTGAGTGCACAGAAGACCGTGGGATTATGAGCATCCGTCCAGTGACTGTTACACAAGTCCACTAGGTTAATTTAAATTTTTTTTGACAGGCAGAGTGGACAGTGAGAGAGAGAGACAGAGAGAAAGGTCTTCCTTTTCCGTTGGTTCACCCTCCAATGGCCACCACGGCCAGCGCGCTGCAGCCAGCGCACCACGCTGATCCGAAGCCAGGAGCCAGGTACTTCTCCTGGTCTCCCATGGGGTGCAGGGCCCAAGGACTTGGGCCATCCTCCACTGCACTCCCTGGCCACAGCAGAGAGCTGGCCTGGAAGAGGGGCAACCGGGACAGAATCCAGCACCCCGACCGGGACTAGAACCTGGAGTGCTGGCGCTGCAGGTGGAGGATTAGCCCAGTGAGCTGCGGCGCAGGCTGATTTAAATTTTTTAAAAGGTATTTATTTATTTGAGAGGTAGAGTTACAGACAATGAGAGGGAGAGACAGAGAGAAAGATCCTCCATCTGCTGGTTCATTCCCCAAATGGCTGCAATGGCTGGAGCTGAGCCGATCCGACGCCAAGAATCAGAGCTTCTTCCACACGGGTGCAGGAGCCCAAGGACTTGGGCCATCTTCTACTGCTTTCCCAGGCTATAGCAAAGAACTGGACTGGAAGAGGAGCAGCCGGGACTAGAACTGGTGTCCATATGGGATGCTGGTGCTGCAGGCAGGGGACTAACCTGCTAACCACAGCGTCGGCCCCACGTCCACTGTGTTTAACGGGGGCCTCCACACAGAGGTTTGCTGAGGTCCACCATCTCCTGCCATCTGCTGGGGAATTACTTTGGCAATGCCATTGAGGGCGTGGTCTAGTGCTCTCGAAGGAGTGCTTGTGTTCTGCTTGTTCATGTGATTGCCGGGCTGCCTGGAAGAGGAAGGGCACCTGTTTCTTTTTTCCCCTGTGATTAGCAGAGTCTGTAAATCCTGGGCTCAGGGCTCCTCTGCTCTTGGAGTGGAGCAGCCAGCATGGCCACGGTGCACAGAAACCTCACCACCACTTGCACAGAGAGAGCTGTTAACAAAGAGCCAGGCTGCTACCCCATATGGACGCCGGTTCGAGTCCCAGCTACTCCACTTCCGATCCAGCTCTCTGCTATGGCTTGGGAAAGCAGTGGAAGATGGCCCAAGTCCTTGGGCCCCTGCAGCCACGTGGGAGACCTGGAGGAAGCTCCTGGCTCCTGGTTTCGGATCAGCGCAGCTCCAGTGGTTGCGGCCAACTGGGGAGTGAACCAGTGGATGGAAGACCTCTCTCTCTCTCTCTCTCCACTCTCTCTGCCTCTCCTCTCTCTGTGTAACTCTTTCAAATAAATATCTTTAAAATAACAAAAACAAAACACAAAGAGCCAGGCTGTCCAGAGGTGCGTGATCCCAAAGACTGGCCAAGACCACAGACACCCAGGCAGTCCCCCCCACCCCCGCCCCCTGCCCTCTCTACCCTGTGGGCTGCTGGCTACCAAGATGCCACTCTGGGAGGTGAGCAGTGCCAGCAGTGAGACAGGAGGCTGGCGCCCGGCCCAGCAGCACAAGTGAAAGGCCTTTGGGGGCAGATGACCCAGAAGTTCTCTTCTCCTGAAAATGGGCCTGGACGTGTTTCAGAAATTGGGGGCAGGTTTTGGAATATTTGCATATGCGTAATGAGCTATTTTGAGGACTGGACCCAAGTCTAAACATGAAATTCGTTCATGTTTATATACACCTTCTATGCTACACATTGCTTGAATGTAATTTTATACAATATTTTAAAAATAATTTTGTGTATGAAATGAGGTTTCCCAGATCTTCCACTTGTGGCCTTATGTCGGTGCTCGCGATGTTTTGGGTTTTAGAGCATTTTGGATTTTTGGGATTTTGGGGTTAGGGATGCCCAACTGGTGATGATTAACACATATGAAATGTGGACATTAGGGGCCGGCATTGTGGTGCAGTTGGTGAAGTCACTGCCGGCATCCTACTTTATGGTGCTAGTTTGAGTCCTTGCTGCTCCATTTCCCAACCAGCTTCCTGCTAAGGTGCCTGCAAAGGCAACAGATGGCAACTCAAGTAGTTGGGCCCCTGCCATCCATGTGGGAGAATCAGATGGAATTCCAGGCTCCTGGCTTTGGCCTGGCATACACCTGGCTGCTGCAGCCATATGGAGAGTGAACCAGCAGATGGAAGATTCTCTCTCTCTCTCTCTTTTGCTCTGTTGCTCTGCCTTTCAAACAAACAAATAAATTTTAAAAAATGGGAACATTAGAAAACATGAGTTCAGTCACAAGCTGAAAATGCCATTAACTGTATGGTGGGAACATAATGACTAATTTTATTGTCAACATTAATAAAAATATCTAATATGTACTGAGCGCATGCTATGTGCCAGATACTCCTCCACAAACTAATAAAGGTACTGCCAAAAATTCATGGAAAATAAAATTAAAAGATAAGTTTATTTTGATGCAAAAATATTGAATGGTTACTTTTTTTTTATTAATTTGCAAGGTTTCCAGAGCCTTCATTATTCAGGTTGTTCTTCTGATTTATAAGATCTATTTTTAGGGGCCAACACTGTGTCGCGACAGGTTAAAGCCCTGGCCTGCAGTACTGGTATTCCATACAGACTCCGGTTCGAGTCCCAGCTGCTCCACTTCTGATCTAGCTCCCTGCTAATGCGCTTGGGTACGCAGTAGAAGATGGTCCAAGTGCTTGGGCCCCTGCACCTGTTTGGGATATCCAGAAGAAGCTCCTGACTCCTGGCTTTGGATCAGTTCAGCTCCAGCGTTTGTGGCCATTTGGGGAGTGAACCAGTGGATGGAAGACCTCCCTCTCTCTGTGTCTCTACCTCTCTCTGTAACTCTGTCTTTCAAATAAGTAAAAGAAATCATTTTTTAAAATCTATTTTTCAAAAAAAATTATGTCCAGACTGAATCCAGGAGCCAGGAACTCCCACATCAGCGGCAAGAGTCCAAGCACGTAGGCCGTCCTCTGTGGCTTTCCCAGGAGCAATAGTAGGGAGTTGGGTTAGAAGTGGAGCAGCAGGGACTCAAATGGTTCATATGGGAAGTCAGCGGCACAGGTGGCAGCTTGACCCACTATAGCGCAGTGCAAGCCCCAAGATTTGTTTTTAAAATTTGTTGTCTGTCACTGAAAAAATATCCCAAAGGTAGCCTGATCAGCAAAGAGTTTCAGAGGATCATGTCCTTTGTTCAGGATCTTGGGGCCGGTGCTGCGGCACAGCAGGTTAAGCGGTCGCCTAAGGTAAAATACATCCCATATGGGCACCAGTTCGAGTCCCTGTTGCTCTTCTTCCAATCCAGCTCTCTGCTATGGCCTGGGAAATCAGTAGAAGATGGCCCAAGTCCTTGGACCCCTGCACCCACATGGGAGACCTGGAAGAAGCTCCTGGCTCCTGGCTTCAGATTGGTGCAGCTCCCGCCATTGCATCCAACTGGGAGTGAACCAGTGGATGGAAGACCTCTCTCTCTCTCTCTGCCTCTCCTTCTCTGTGTAACTCTTTCAAATAAATACATCTTTAAAAAAAAAAAACTTATGTTTTATAATTGCATTCCAACACTTCGTTGGCTTTTTGTACATTTAGGAGCCACGGATGGCTTCCCTGAAGCTTCTGACTTGCCCAGGACCTGTTGCTCAACTTGTCCTCCCCAGCTCCACACCCAGACAAGTGTCTTTGGACTTCAGTCTTCAGAGCCCTCCTGTCATAGTGTGGAAACTCTTAAGAAATCAATAAAATATTCTGGCGGCCTGTTCTAAGCAAGACGCTAATTATTATTGTTCAACCGTGAGGCATCCGAATTCTTTGCAAGTTGCATCCCCTCATCCAGGAACTCTGCTAAATCGACCACCCTGTGCCCAGACACGGCCATCTGTCTATGCGGCCGGGACTCAGTCTCCACTGAGAGCGAGGGAGCCTCTTTACGCCACGGGCCCAGCTCCTGGGCCTCCTCCGGAAAGCCACATCCTCTCTCTTCCGAAACACTGAACAGGAGCAACTCAACCAGTTTTCCACCGCATCAGAAACAAACAAACAAACAAACAAACAAACAAAAACAGCAGGCTATCCCTAAGGAAGAGAGGAAGGGTCTTTGAAACGGAGCTTAAGACCAGGACAGATGGGACAAGAATGGGACGTGAAATAGTTTAAGTGCTGCTTTTAGCAAGTCAGGGCGAAACTGGAACCTATTTCCACAGAGCTCTGTGAGAGCAGAGACTGGGGCGGTGGCCTACGCACCGGTCCCCCGGCAGGGAGAGAGAGCAGGGGCCCCGCTAGCCAGCCGGAGTGAGAGAGCCGCAGGAATTCTACTAACTGGTTAATTTGCAGGCAAAGGGCGATGTAAATTTCCCTGCGTGAGGGAGGGGGAAGGCTTCTCTTAGGAAAACAAAAAAACAAAGCAGATCTTCGCCTCCGTGCGCGTATTTCCCTTCTCCGCCGTGATGAAAGTGTTCGCACTAATTTTCCAGGGAGACCAGAAAATATGTATGGTGTGTTTTGTCTCCGGTGGCAGCCTGGGTCACTGAGCACCGTCATTCAATGCGATTTGTTGATGGATAGTTGGAAGAATCGAACCTTTCAGTGTTGGGAGAGAAAAAAAAAATCGCCAGACCTGCGCCTCGAGGGGAGCCCCCCACGAAAAATCACTTGACGTGTTCCACCGGAAAGTTCCAGAAGCCGCAGAGCCAGGCGAGGAGGCCCAAACTGCAGCCCAGGCCAGGCGGGTTGGATTTTGCTTCTGGTGGGGTAGGTGAGATGGGGTTTCTAGAAGCTGCGGGCGCGGTGGACAAAAACAGAGCCGTTCCAGGAGGCGACTGAATGGACCAGGCTCCGGCCCTGTGCCTCAATTGTGTGCACAAAGAAAGGCCCAAACTGCTAACCGGGGTCTCCCAGAACTGGTGGGCTGGGGGTTGGAGGCGGGCGGGGCGGGGGCGGGGGAGGGGGAGGGGGAGGGGGAAGGAGGGGGAGGGGATCCTCTCTGCGCCGTTCCCAGCTGAGTGCAGAAAGGAAACACATCCCCACACCCCCCTCAAATTCCCTAGGGAATCGGAGGCAGCCTGTGCTCGCCCCCTCCCCACCCCCCTCACCTCGCGGTTCATTGAACGAAGCAGCCGCTCTGCCTGCGGCTGGGAGAGCCCCAGGCTGCAGCCGCCCTGGCTGAGGCCCTGCGGCCTCGCTGGCATCCTGGCCCCTCGGCAGGGCCCAGGCCGAGGCCACTCCGGGCCTGGGGGTGGGGGATGGGGGCCTGGCTCCTGGCCCAGCTCATCTTCCCTTTCTGTAAGAGGCTCCGACAGAAGCCAGCTGGGGCAGAGGCCCTGGGAGCCAGGTCGAGCCCCACCTTCCTGCCCAGGACAAGGAGGCTGGGGGGGGAGGGGAGGGGGCCCGCCTGCGACGTGGGGCAGTCACGGGTCAAGGCCGTGGTAGGTGTGGCCTTGGAGGTGTGTGCGGGCTCCCGAGGGCGTGGCGCCGTCGCTGCCCCCAGGCTGGTAGGGCTACCAAGCCTGAAGTTGGAGCGGGAAGAGGGAGGCTCTGGCCGCCTCGGGGTTCCGTGGGGAGTGCTCAGGACGCCACCCAGGCCCTCCCTCGGCTTGCCCTGGAGCCGGAGGTGGGTGGGGGAGGTTGTGGAGGTTGTGTGTGCCCCTGTCACTCATACAAGCGAGTTGTCTTCCCATTCTGAGAGCATGGTGGGACCTGGAACCCAGCGCGCATTCGCTCACCTCAACCAACCCGCCCAAGCAGGGACTGGGGGGACGAGGCCAGAAAGCCAGGGCTTTGAGAGGCTCTCGCGGAGCAGGAGTTGTGGCCTAGCGTGGTGAACCTATAGGAGGCAGGTCCGGCTCCTTGCTAGTGCCTCTGGTGCCCCGGCCACCCACGTCAGAGACCCTAATGTAGTTCCTAGTCCAGCCTGGGCTGTTGCAGACATTGGGGAGTGAACCAACAGATGTTAGATCTGTGTGTGTTTCCATCTCTGTCACTTTGCCTTTCAAATAAAAAAAAAATCTTACTTAAGAAAAGTATCTCTCAGGGTGGTCATTGTGGCACAAGATGCTTGGGATGCCAACATTGCAAGTGCCTGGGTTCAAGTCCTGCCTCTTCTTCCCATCCAGTTTCCTGCTAAAGTGCCTGAGAGGCAGGCGATGATGATGGCCCAAGCACTGGGGTCGCTGCCAGCCACATGGGGGACCTGGATGGAGTTCTTGATTCCTGGCTTAGTAAATAGTTTTTTAGAAAGAGTACCAGTGAGTTGAAAGATGTAGGGTTTCTCACATATTAATATTCCTGAAAGTGGATGCCTTTTGCAATTCATGTCAAAATATGCTTTCTAACCCCAAAACTCTTATTAAATGGATGGCAGGCTTTAGAAAAGATGATGTTAGGGGCTGGCACTGTGGAGCAGTGGGTAAAGCAGCTGCCTGCGACACTGGGGTCCCATATGGGCGCTGGTTCAAGTTCTAGCTGCCTCACTTCTGATCCAGCTCTCTGCTAATGTCCTAGGAAAGCAGTGGAGGATGGGCCAAGTGCTGTGGCCCTGGAAGAAGCTCCTGGCTCCTGGCTTCTGGCTTCTGCTTGCCCAGCTCTGGCCGTTGTGGCCATTTGGGGAGCGAATCACCAAATAGAAGATCGATCTCTCTCTCTCTCTCTCTCTCTGAATGTGCCTTCAAATAAAAATGAATACTTTTTTTTTTTTTAAAGAAAAGGTGACGTTAGGACGGAGGAAGTACTGTGTTTGATTGGCTGGCGATTGGGATGGGATGGGGGTGGGTTGTAAATTGCTTGGGGAGAGGAACCCCTGCTCCATTCTCCCTCTTGCTTCTGAGCCATTTTCCTCGGCTTTTGTCGGCAGGTGTCCGTCAGCATCTGCGGGACTGGCTCCAGGAACCCCTGAGGGTACCAAAGGCTGCTCAAGGCCTCTCTATGCAGCATCACATCTGCACAGAAGGCTGCACTTCCTCTCAAGCATCCGCAGATGACTTATGCTATCTAATATGGTGTAAATGCTATGTCAGCCGTTACTGCACTAGATTGTTTAGCGAATAATAACAAGAAAACAGTCTATGTGTCAGTACAAACGCGCTCTTGTTCTTGAATGCTTTTGACCTGAGGTTGACTGAAACCACGCATAAGGCACCGGTGGCTCTGGAGGACTGGCTCTGCTGAGTTTATGGAGGTGACACCGACAGCCAGTGAAAGGCACTGGTCTTAATTGTGTTATTTAGTGGAGTTTGACAAACAAATATCCCGAGTAAGAGATAGACCATTTCTACCCCCCTAGAAATGTGTCGTGCCCCTTCCCAGTTAATCCCGCGTCACACTCCCAGAGCAACCGCTGCTCTGAATTCAATTACATGAATTAGATTTGTTTTGCCAATTATGGAACTTCATATAACTAGAATTACGTAGAAGATATTTGGAGAGGTCTGGCTTTTTTCACCCAGCACAATATTTTTAAGATCCCTTCTTAGCGTTGCATGTAATCTGTTCCCGTTTGTGGCCAGAGCAGCTATATTTTCGTAACGCCTGTCCTGGTTCGTTCAGGCTGCTGTGACAAGGAGGTGGAGGCCCAACAACAGCACATTTCTTTTGCTATTGAGACAGGGAGGTGCGGGGAGCCGCTGAGCCACCTGGGGTAGCTCTTATTATCTTAAGACCTACAGGATGTGGTCTGGTTCCCCTGCTCTGAAGGTAAACAGACCCCTGCCTGGACCAGGCTCAGACCAGCTTAGAGGGTCAAGGCTAACCTAGGTTGACCTAGGTCATTCCACGCTTACTGCAATACCTTAGCATGCTAAGTGACACACCTGCCAAGTGCCATGACAGCAAACAAGGGCCCACAGAAGGAGTAAAAAGGGGTGGCAGCTAGATTCCAGAACTCTCCACCTGCTGCCCAAACCATGGCTAGTCCTCTTCCTTAAGAGGGTGTCCCTCCCTGTTCTTAGAATCTAGCTCCCCTTTCCTGGAATAGCCCATGTAACGCTGCAAAGTTCAGGGTCAGGGCCACTCTCCTCCCAGAGGCGTCTGCTCTGCCTGTGGAGCTTATATCTTTGCTTCCTCAATAAAACACTCACTACTCGCTGTTCTCCACCTTAATCCTGAGTGTCTTCTTGAGGCAAAGTCCAGGACCTGGGTACTGACTGGGCAGTCCTCACTGTCCAGTGCTGCCATCACATGGGGAATGAGAGTTGCAAAATACGAGTTTTGGAGAATACATACATTCAGTCCATAGCGTTCCACCTCTGCCCTCCAATGCATGTCCTTAATCTCTTCCAGATACATCCATTCCACCCTGCAAAGTCTCAGCTCCTTGCAACACCAGCTCCATAAAGGTCTAAAGTTCCAAGTCTCATCCAGATCAGAGATGGGTAAGACTCAAGGTATGATTCACTCTGAGGCAAAATTCCTCTCCTGCTGTGAACCAGGGAAACCAAGCAAGTTACCTGCTCCCAAAATACAGTGATGGCGTAGGCATAGGATAGATATTCCCATTTCAAAGGGGGAGACAGGAGAGAAGGAAGGAGTACTGTAACAGGTTCCAAGTAAGTTCAGACTACAAGGCAAACTCCATGGAATTTTTCTTAAAATTTATTTATTTTAGCTGAAAGGCAGTTACAGGGAGGGGAGAGAGAGAGAGTGAGCTTCCGTTTTCATGTTTGCTCCCTAAATGGCCACAACTGCCAAAACTGGGCCAGGCTGAAACTAGGAGCCAGGAATTCCATCTGTGTCTCCCACATCGGTGCATCTTCTACTGCTTTCCCAGGCACATTAGCAGGGAGCTGGATTGGAAGTGGAGCAGCTGATACTTGAACTGGTGCTCTTATGGGATGCTGACATTGAAGCAGGGGTTTAACCTGCTACACCACAGAGCTGGCCCTGTCCATGAAATCTTAGGGCTTGAGACTAATCCTCTTTGTTTCACTGATCTGCCTTCTGGAAGCTCTGGGTGGGAGGTTCCTGCCCCAGCTGCCCTGCTGGCGAGGGGTTGTAGTGGCAGCTCTCTGCCAAGCAAGGATCAGTCCCTTACGACTTTGGGTGGAGGCTGTGTGGCCTGTTGAAACCCAGGCTGTGGCCCTGATGACATCCAAATTGCCTGTGCACACATTGCAAGGCTTCCTTGGAGGAGGCCCATTTCTCCATTTCTTTAGTTAGTGCCTGTGGGTAGTGTTTCTGCTGGTATAATCCCATCTCTGTCATTGGCTTCTATCACGATGGCTCAATACATCTCTGGTTCACATCTACATAAATCTCCTTATCCAATGATTGGTCTACCACATCTTAAATGTTGTCTTCAGAACAGGATTTCTCACTTTTCTTAATATAAATGGAGACTTTTCCCGATCTTTTAAGTTCTGGTTCCTTTTTGCTTAACAGTTTCTTCTCTGACTCCTTTCTCTCTTCTCACATTGTACTAGAAGCAGTTAGAAGGAACCAAATTGCTTCAACACTTTGCTTAAAAATGTCCTCAACTGGGTTGGGCGTTTGGTACTGCAGTTGAGGTACCACTTAGGATGCCTGCATCCCATATCGGAGTACCTGGGTTCAACACCTGGCCCCACTTCCGACTTCAGCTTCCTGCTAATGTGGGAGGGAGTAGGTCGTGGAACAAGTGTCTGGATCCCTGCCACACACCTGGGAGACCTGGGTGGAAGTCAGGCTCCTGGCTTCAGCCTGATCCAACCCTTGCTGTTGTGGACATTTGGGGAGTAAACCAGCAGATGGAAGCTTTTTCTCTCTTTCATCCTTTCAAATGAAAAAAAAAATTTAAAAGAAAGCTCTTGAACTAAATATCCAATTTCATTGTTTACAAGTTCCGCGCTCCACAAAGCACTTCAGCCAAGTTCTTTGCCACTTCATAGCAAGGGTTGCCTTCCATCTGTCATCCAATAACACGTTCCTCATCTACATTTGAGATCTCATCAGAATGACCTTTTTTCTTCTTTTGTAAAAATCAACATTCTTGTCATGCTTAATTATGTTTTCGCTAAGAGCCAGTTCCTATGATGGAAGGCTAGAGTGACAAGAATAACCTAATGGCATAACCTCACTATATTTAAAATGTATAACTGCAATAAGAAACAAACACCTTCACCAAAACATTTCTCTTATTAACTGAAAGAAAACTGATGTAGAAAATTTGAGCATGATTAACAAACCTGAACTAAGTGATGTAAAAAATCACTCCCCAGCAGCTACACAATACTTACTCAGTCCTTTTAAGCAAGTCAGGAATGTATGAGTGTTCACAACATACTGGACCATAAAGGCAAATGTCATACATCTTACGGAGGAATGTTCTCTGATCACATGGAAATTATGTTGGGAAGTAATTAAGAGAAGAAAACACTTCCAGTCCATTGGGAATGGTGAGAGACATTATGGGTCACATAAGAAAGCACAAGGAAATTAGAAAATATTTAAAATATGTTCTGAAATAGTAAAATGCAATAACATTATAGACATGGAATATAAAACTTAAAATAGGAAAAAGTCTGAAAATCAACAATTCAAGGATGCATCTCAATTGGAAAATAATAGCAAACCAAATGCAAAAGAGGATTGAAAATAAATATGGAAGCTGATGTTAGTGAACTATAAAGAAAACATTAAAATGAGGACCATAAGACCAAAATTTGGTTCTTTACAAGCATAAATCAATGATAAACCTGTGGCATGACTGATAAGGAAAAAAGAATTGGCACAAATAACTCCAATCAGGAATTTTATAAAAAGGAGGCATCACTACAAATACAATAGGCATTAAAACAATCAACAGTGAGTCCAGTAAACATCTTTTGTAAAAACTGTGAAAAATTAGATGATGAATTGAAAAAATTTGTAGGAAAATGTGATTGATTGATTTTGACTTAAGAAGAAATAGGAAATCCAGTTAGTTCCAGAACATCACTGTCCCAAAGAAATCTAACATGTGCCAAAGAGTATTTTAAATTTAAAATTTTCTAGGAACCACATTTTTAAAAAAGTCAAAAGAAACAGGTGTCTTTAATTGTAATAATATATTTAATTTAATCCAATATACTCAAAATAAAAATAGTAATCTATAAAATTTATCAAAAAATATTTTACATTATTATTGGGTAATAAGTCTTCCAAATCTGGTATGTGTTTTACATTTGTGGTTCATCTCAGTCTGGACTTGTCCAGGGCCCAATAAAACACACAGAGCAAGTAGCTACTTGTGGGAGCAGCAGAGATTTAGACCAAGAATGGAGGAGATGTCCCAGATATCAAGGTATTTATTTATTTTTACAATGTACCAAGGAGGACAGTGTAGGTTTCACGTGCAGAGCTACACAAATGTACCAATGACTGTTTCATTAGCAATTGATATGAAACAAAGTTTTATTTATTTGTATGGGAGATAATTATTTAGCTGTTCAGTTTACTGTTAAAACAGTTTATTGTTTGAGAAACAGTGTTGGTGCACTGAAGAAACTTAGAAAATATGGCCGATGCCATGGCTTGCTAGGCTAATCCTCTGCCTGCGGCGCCGGCACCCCGGGTTCTAGTCCCGGTTGGGGCACCGAATTCTGTCCTGGTTGCTCCCCTTCCAGTCCAGCTGTCTGCTGTGGCCCGGGAAGGCAGTGGAGGCTGGCCCAAGTGCTTGGGTCCCTGCACCCGCATGGGAGACCAGGAGGAAGCACCTGGCTCCTGGCTTTGGAATGGCACATCGCGCCAGCCATAGTGGCCATTTTGGGGGTGAACCAACGGAAGGAAGACCTTTCTCTCTGTCTCTCTCTCTCTCACTGTCTGTAACTCTCTCTCTGTCTCTCTCACTGTCTAACTGCCTGTCAGAAAAAATTAAAAAATTGAAAAAGAAAGAAAATATATGAAGTTCTCTTTCTCTGTATCTCAGCTTTCAAATAAATAAACAAATAAGTCAACATTTAAAAATATACAGGGTAATTCAGAAAACTTGTGAAAATGCATTTTATTATTACTATTTTAAAAGGGTTATTTGACTTATTTGAAAGACAGCATTAGAGAGAGAGAGAAACAGAGATCTTCCATCTGCTGATTCACTCCCTAAATGTTTGCAACAGCCAAGACTGGGCCAGGTCAAAGTCAGATGCCTGGAACTCCATCCGGGTCTCCTATGCAGATGAAGGGGCCCCAGCACTTGGGCCATCTTGCACTGCTTTCCCAGGCACATTAGCAGGGAGCTAGTTTGAAAGTGAAGCATCTGGGACTCCAACTGGTGCTCATATGGGATGCCGCATCTTGGGCAGCGACTTAATCCAAAAATACATATTAGGTAAAGGCTATGCATATTATATAAGGACTCTGCATGGAGTTCAAAAAAATTTTTGCACCAAAGTAAACTTTTCATTCCATTTTTTCCACGAGCTCTTTGAAGTACACTTGTAGACAAAAGCAAAATGAACTAAAAATCATTTTTTTACTGCCACTGAGACAGGTGTCTGTGTGTGTGTTTAAATGTATCTGTGAGTGTGTATGGTGGTGTGTGTTTTTGGGAGAAGGAGAGATAGACTTGCTTTTCAGAAGCCTTGGAGATACAGAGTGAATAGTGAGGAGTGTTAAAAGTATTGAAACAGTCAAGGAGGCTGAAAGGTCTTAAATTAAATTTTAACATTTCCAGGAAGTATTGTCTGATGTTGAAGATGAAAACTACCTGGGGCCGGCACCGTGGTATAGTGGGCTAAGCCTCAGCCTGTGGTGCCAGCATCCCACATGGGAGACAATTTGTGTCCTGGCTTCTCCCTTTCCGATCCAGCTCTCTGCTGATGGCCTAGGAAAACAGTGAAAGAGAAGCCCAAGTATTTGGGCCACTGGACCCATCTGGAAGACCGGAAGAAGTCCTGGCTCCTGGCTTCAAATCTGCCCAGCTCTGGCTGTTGCAGCCACTTGGGGAGTGAACCAGCAGATGGAAGACCTCTCCCTGTCTCCCCATTCTCTATCTGTAACTCTGCCCCTCAAATAAATAAATAGGGGCTGTTTCTGTGGCATAGCAGGTAAAGCTGCCTGCAGTGCCGGCCTCCCATATGGGCACCAGTTTGAGTCCCAGCTGCTCCACTTCTGATCCAGTTCTCTGCTATGGCCTGGGAAAGCAATGGAAGATGGTCCAAACAGAGAGGTCTTCCATCCGCTGGTTCACTCCCCTATTGACCACAACGGCTGGAGCTGCGCTGATCTGAAGCCAGGTGTCAGGAGCTTCTTCCAGGTCTCCCACGTGAATACAGGAGCCCAAGGACTTGGACCATCTTCCACTGCCTTTCCAGGCCATAGCAGAGAGCTGGATCAGAAGTGGAGAAGCCAGGCTCGAACTGGCACCCATATGGGATGCCGGCACTGCAGGCAGCGGCTTTACCTGCTACCCCAAAGCCCTGGCCCCTCTTTTAATCCTTAAGGCGGCTTGCTCATAATGTGTTTGTTGAGTTAATACTCATTAGCCTGTGCTATAATGTTCTATATTGTAGACTGCACACGCTTCGCTGAGTCAATGGTTACGGTTATGTTGGCACTCAAAGGTTTTATAGTAAAAAATAAACATATCAACCATTTTGCCCACAGATCTGTGTGATGCATTGCGAGACACACAAAGATGGGACATCTTCACACATGGACGCAGAGTAAGCAACAAGAGAATATTGAGTGCACTTATGGATGCCGAGAGCCGTTTGTACCTTGCTGCTCTTAACCGAGAACATGCCCCACACTATTGACCTGAAAGTGAAAAACACCTTGAACTTGCTGTGATTTTGAAATGCTCCCTATTCCCCCCCCACTACAACTGCCATGGAAGGTCAAGCATTTCTACTGACTTGGAATATACACTGAGGTCAGGTGGAGTCCAACAGCTGGGTCAGACTTGACCGGAAGCTGTGGTTTGATCCGTTCACCAACCCCACGGACCCAGACATCAAGGTAATCAGGCTGACTAAGAGCAAAGCTTTGCTTAGTGGAGCACACAGACTTAGCTTGAGGGACTAAGTCCCCTAGGAAGTAGAGGAAAGTGAAAAGCTCTGGCCCCGTGTCCACATGACATTGGAACAGCTAATGAATTCGGTAGCAACAAGTAAAAGCCAGAAGGGTCTTCGCGTCTGGGAGATACGAATGGCCACGTGAATCCAGATATCTTTGTACATCTTTCCCCAAAACATAACATCACCAAGGAATGCTCGTAAAATGACACGCGACCCATGCCTGTAGCACGATCAGTCAACAGAGAACACCACAGCCATCACATGACGTGGAAATAGAGGAAAAAGCTCCCAGTCCTAGGAAAGGACTACCGTCCCTGCAGGCCAGGGCATGCTGGGAGAAGAGAGGAAGTCTCAGGAGACCCAGACAGGCTGAGAACAAGCAATGGAAGTTCCAAAGGATGCACAGGCACCTCATCCCAGAAAAGTTCAACAGAAGGGATCAAAGTGCTAAACATGTGTCGGGGACATGGTAGTTCAGTTGGTTTTTTTTTTTTTTTACAGGCAGAGAGGACAGTGAGAGAGAGAGACAGAGAGAAAGGTCTTCCTTTGCCGTTGGTTCACCCTCCAATGGCCGCCGCGGCCGGCGCGCTGCAGCCGGCGCACCGCGCTGATCCGATGGCAGGAGCCAGGAGCCAGGTGCTTTTCCTGGTCTCCCATGGGGTGCAGGGCCCAAGCACCTGGGCCATCCTCCACTGCACTCCCTGGCCACAGCAGAGGGCTGGCCTGGAAGAGGGGCAACCGGGACAGAATCCAGCGCCCCGACCGGGACTAGAACCCGGTGTGCCGGCGCCACTAGGCAGAGGATTAGCCTAGTGAGCCGCGGTGCCGGCGGTAGTTCATTTTTTTAAAAAGATTATTTATTTGAGAGGCAGAGTCACAGAGAGAGGGAGAGACAAAGAGAGAGGTCTTCCATCCTCTGGTTCACTCCCCACATGACCTCAATGACAGGAGCTGAGCTGGTCTGAAGCTAGAAGCCAAATGGAAGATCTCTCTGTCTCCATGTGTCTGTCTGTCTGTCTGTCTGTCTCTCTTCCAAATAAATGAAAAATAAATTAAACAAATTTAAACAAAAGAAGGAAGAAAAACTATGTGTGGGCTTCAATTTTTTTAGTCCCAAAACAATTTATGTTTTAATACCATTTTTCCATGAACTTTTTTTATACATTTATTTTTTAAATGATTTATTTATTTATTTGAAAGGCAAAGTTAACGGAGTTGCAGAGGGAGAGAGAGAGAGAGAGAGAGAGAGAGAGAGAGCTCCTCCATCCCGTTTCACTCCCCCAAATGGACAAATGGCAGAAGCCCAGGAGCCAGGCGCTTCTTCCAGGTCTCCCACGTGGGTGCAGGGGCCCAAGCACTTGGACCATCTTCTACTGCTTTCCCAGGAGCACTGGCATGGAGCCGGATCGGAAGTGGAGCAGCTGGGACTCGAACTGGCACCGTACGGGATGCTCATGCCGCAGGCAGAGGCTTTACCCGCTACAGCACAGCTCCGCACCCTCATACAGGGAGAAGAAAAGGCAAGTCAGGGTCCGAAGCTGTGTGGATTCCTGAGACAGAGGACGGCTTAGATTCTATGGCACAGTCTCTGCCCCCTTGGCCTTGGTGAGTCAGCAACAGCAGCCAGGTCGCACAGCCTTGGAACCATGGAGGGATCCCCCCACCCCATGGAGGAGCTCGGTGGCCAAGCTAGCTTCATGACCTGGCCCAGGGGGCTTGGTCAGCACACCTGTGCCCTCACCTGTCCACTCTGAGCCCTGGAGGCCCCAGGCCAACTCTCTGTAATGGGAGAGGCGCGACATGTGGTGGGAGGAGAGGGACTGGGCCAAGGGAAGGGAATTTCCTGGTTAGCAAAACCCCACTGAAATTTCCCCCTTTTCTCTCTCTTTGTTTCTCCTATTCTCCCCCTGAAGCGGCTTGCCTTGGAGTCAAAGCATTTTACAAAAACAAACCACGCCAAGGCTTTCAAGTGGAGGGAAAGCTCGAGCAAAGTTAATTAACATGAAGGTTCTCACAAAAGTTAATTAACACGAAGGTTCCCACAAAAGCCGGCTGCTGGCATCTGCTCGCCTGCCATGCGCGGCGGCCGCTTTGTACCGGGGCGCACCCGCGCCTGCCCCGCGCGCGCAGCCGCCTGGCTCGCAGGGCGCGCCGCGATCTTCCACGGAGCTGCACGCTTTCGGGGCGCCTTGCTGCGGGGGTCCTCCCGGCGGCCTGGAAGCACACCCCTCCCCCGCCCCCACGCACAGTCAGGACAAGCGGGCTGCTACGATGCTTGCTTGAGAAAAGAGCCAGAGGGGTTGGGAGTGGGGGCGGGGAAGAGAGGAAGGGAGGCAGGAAAATCGGTAAAATCTCCTTTGGGAAAAAGGTGCTTCATATAAATAAAGATTGGTTTTTGGTGAGGAAATTTGGAAATACAGATACAGGCAAAATGCAAATCACTCGACAAAAAAAGTCACAACACAACACAATGAATAATAAAATAATAGAAATAATGTTAATATCAAATAAATAATATTAAATACTATATATGTATGAATAACAGGATCATATAAAGAAAGGTATGGAAATAGACACATTTCAGTGTCAGCAAATATATGCTCTCTCGTACCCACAAGCATTTTTCTGATCTTCCAGATAACCAAAGGTGCACAAATATGCATGTGAGCTCGGCTGTGCCACTGTTGATGGTGCACAGCCACACACACATGTGAGGTGTTTATTTAAATCACCACATGAAGAAAGGTCATTCTCTTACACAGAGTTTTATTGCAGGGATTCTTCCCCGGGAAGAAGTTGTACAATTGTGGACATTTAGCATAGTGGTTAAGAAGCCCGTGTCCCCTGTGAGAGTTCTTAGTTCCAGCTTCCTGCTACTGCACACCCTGGAAGGCGACAGGTATTGGCTCAAGTGCTGGGGTTCCCGACACCCATGTGGGAGCACTGGACTGAGTTCCTGACCCCTTGCTCCCGCCCCAGCCAGCCCTGGACATTGTGGGTGTTTGGGGGAGTCAACCAGTGGATGGGAATCAATCTCTGTGTGTGTTTGTGTGTGTGTGTGTCTCCTCTCTCTGCCTCTCCAACAAACAAAAATTTTAAAACTCCATTTGTTTGGATTTATGAATTTTGGAGTTGGATACATTTGATATTGAGACTTAAAAAAGATTATTTATTTACTTATTTGAGAGGTAGAGTTACAGACGATGAGAGGGAGAGACAGAAAGGTCTTCCGTCTTCTGCTTCACTCCTCAAATGGCCGCAACAGCTGGAGCTGGGCCAATCCGAAGCCAGGAGCCAGGAGCTTCTTCCGGGTCTCCCACGCAGGTGCAGGGGCCCAAGCACTTGGGCAGTCTTCTGCTGCTTTCCCATGCTATTAGCAGAGAGTTGGATGGGAAATGCAGCAGCCAGGACTTGAACTGGTGTCCGTATGGGATTCTGGCGCTGCTGGTGGCGTTTTTACCTGCTACACCACAGCTCTAGCCCAGATATTGGGACTTTAATAATGGGGATGTTTGCTAGCAATGACGATGTAGTGCTCATTGGAGTCCCTGGAATGATCCCAGTGGTCACAAAGCAGTAAGAAGTGACTGATACGTGGCTGAAGACACAGGCTGGCTGCCTGCTCAGCCTCTGTCACAGTTCCTGTAGCGGCTCTAGCGCACCTGCCCAGGACCTACCTGGGCTGGTTCTCTGGGATTTATTTAGGAATTTGGGGGCCTGGGACTGAACTGACTGGGACACAGAAAGAAGGTCAGAGGAAGGCTTGATTCTCATTGCAGATGGCTCCTGTTATTATCGGGAGAAGTTTTTTTCTCCAAATGGTTCTTACATTTCCGAGTGTCCCTTAGACTGGGTTCAATGGCCCAGTAACTGCTTTGTTCACTTCCGTACACAGAAGCATTTTGACATGATCAGCTCAGGGAGAAAACTGGAGTCTACCCACTGCAGTGATGTGGATGGGCTAGAGACATAGTTGAATGTTTGTCTTTGCTCCTGACAGGCCATATCAGAAGAGTCTGAAGGCTGATGACAGGAATGGCAGCCTTAGACAGTCAACCCTTAGCATTGGTGGGAGAGTGGTTCCAGGACTTCCTTGAAAACTCAGATCCTCAGTTGGTGGAGTCTCTTAGATCTAAATGCATAGGATCTGGATATAACCTCTGTGTATCCACCTGTACACTTGGGAGATAGATGGGTAGAGTTAGAGAGAGAGATTAGATAGATAGATAGATAGATAGATACTGATATGCCCACCATGGCTAGGACTGGGCCAGGCCAATGTCAAGAACCAGAGATTCAATCCAGGATTCCCACATGGGTAGAAGTGACCCAATTACTTGAGCCATCACCTGTGGCTGCCAGGTGGGTATCTTAGCAAGAAACTGGAGTCAGGAGCTGCAGCCAGGTATTGAACCCAGGCCCTCCGATGGGACATAGCAATCTTAATCAGCATCTTAACTGCTAGGCTGAATGGCCACCTCATCCCTTGTGTACCTGAAACCATCTCTAGATTACTGGCAATATCTAGTACATTCTTTGTACACACTCTGTGAATAGTTGTCATACTGTACTGTTTAGGGAACAATGACAAAGGAAGCAAGTTTGTATGTGTTCAACACAGACACAACCATCGTAGGCCTGACTGCAAAGTCCACATCAGCAACAATGCAACGTTTCCCCCTGAATCGTTTCCCTCTGCTGTTGCTTGAATCTGGGGATGTGGAACCGCTGGAGAGAGAAGCAAGACTCTACCAGGAAAATGCAAACTCAGTAGACACCAGGCAGTTTTGTATGGAAGTCAGGGGCAGGCAATGGCTTCAATGTTTGTGTCCCCCTTCAAATTCATATATAAGATATTTCCACCAAGTTCATGGAAAATGCATATTAGGGAAAAACTATGTAGCATATGGCTTTAAAAATTTTTTTTGCACCCAAAGGAACCTACATTTTAAAAAGGCATATTTATTTACTCACAGAGAGAGAGAGAGAGAGCGAGAGCGATGGCTCATCTGCTCATGCACTCCCCAAATGCCTACAGTGGCTGGGTCCAAGCCAGGAGCCAGGAATGCAATATGAAGTCTTCCACGTGCATGACAGGGACTTGGTTACTTGAGCCATCCTGCCTCCCAGGGTCTGCATTTATTTATTTATTTATTTTTGACACAACTGTACAACTTCTTTCTAGGGAAGAATCCTCGCAGAACACATTTGTTTTAGAGAAACAACTTTTCTCCCTGAGGTCTGTTAAGCACCACACATGGGTATTTGGTTGTGTATGTCCAAGAGTGGCATAGCAAAGCCACTGGTTAGAGTGGAAGGCAAACCCAAGTGCTTGGGCCCCTGTTAGCCAAGTGGGAGACCCGGACTGAGTTCCTGGCTCATGGTCTTGGCCTGGCCCAAGCCCTGCCTTTGCAGCCATTTGGGGGTGAATCAGTGGATGAAGCTCTTCCTCTTCTCTCTCTCTCTTTCTCTCACTCTGTCTTTTAAATAAATAAGAAAAAAACTTAAAAATATAAATAAGATGTACAATGCAATGGTTTTATTATATTTGGCCAAAGTACTTGGGCCATTATCTGCTGCCTTCCCAGGGACATAAGCAGGGAGATGGATTGGGAGCAGACCAGCCAGGACTTGAACCAGCGCTCTGATATGGGATGTCAGCATTGCAAGCAGTGCCTTAATCTGCTATGCCACAACTCTGGTCCCTGGAATGTACACTTGAAGTGAGTAAATTCTATGGGATGTGATCACATTCTAATAAAGCTATTGAAAGAATAGGAGCCCAGAGGATGAAGATGAAATTGTTCAGCATGCACACACACTTTTTTAAAAATGATTTTTATGTTTTAGTTATCATATATGAGGTAGATATTTCAAAAAGTTTGTGAAACATGAAATTTAAATATAAGTTTAGGGGCCAGCACTGTGGCGGGTAAAGCCGCCGCCTGCAGTGCCGGCATCCCCTATGGGCTCCAGTTCGAGTCCCGGCCTCTCCATTTCCAATCCAGCTCTCTGCTGTGGCCTGGGAAAGCCATAGAAGTTGCACCTGCATGGGAGACCCAGAAGAAGCTCCTGGCTCCTGGCTTTGGATCGGCACAGCTCCAGCCATTGTGGCCATCTGGGGAGTGAACCATCGGATTGAAGACTATCTCTGCCTCTCCTTCTCTCTCTGTGTAACTCTGACTTTCAAATAAATAAATAAAAAATCTTAAAAAATATAAGTTTATTTTGGCAAAAACACTCTGAAATCTGTGCATGGGGAGGGTATTTAAAAAGTTCATGAGGTGGCACAGTAGCATAGTGCGTATAGCTGCTGCCTGCACGGCTAGCATCCCATATGGGTGCTGGTTCGAGTCCCAGCTGCTGCACTTCCGATCCAGCTCTCTGCTATGGCCTGGGGAAGCAGTAGAAGATGGCTCAAGACCTTGGGCCCCTGCACACATGTGGGAGACCCGGAAGAAGCTCCTGGCTCCTGGCTTTGGATTGGCACAGCTCCGGCCATTGTGGCCAACTGGGGAGTGAACCAGTGGATGGAAGACCTCTCTCTCTCTCTCTCTCTCTCTCTCTCTCTCTCTGCCTCTCTTTCTCTCTCTGTGTAACTCTTTCAAGCAAATAAATAAATATTTTAAAAAAGTTCATTGAGGCCGGCGCCACTGCTCAATAGGCTAATCCTCCGCCTGCGGCACTGGCACCCCGGATTCTAATCCCATTCAGGGCGCTGGATTCTGTCCCGGTTGCTCCTCTTCCAGTCCAGCTCTCTGCTGTGGCCCGGGAGTGCAGTGGAGGATGGCCCAAGTGCTTGGGCCCTGCACCTGCATGGGAGACCAGGAGGAAGCATCTGGCTCCTGGCTTCGGATCAGCGCAGCACTCCAGCTGTGGCGGACATTGGGGGGTGAACCAATGGAAAAGGAAGATCTTTCTCTCTGTTTCTCTCTCTCACTGTCCACTCTGCTTGTAAAAAAAAAAAAAAAAAAGAAAGAAAGAAAGAAAGAAAGAAAAAAAGAAAAAGAAAAGAAAAAAGTTCATTGAAAATGTATATTTTGAAAAAAATGCATAAATTTCAAAAATTCTTTCATCTTAATATTCTGATGTTTCAATTTTGTTTTAAAATTAAAATTAAATTAAATTTTCTTTTCTAAAAATTCATAGTTATTTTTATTCATTTGAAAGGTAGAGAGACAGAGCAGAGACACAGAGAGATCTTCTACTTGCTGGTTCATTCCCCAAATGCCTGTAGCATTCAGGGCTGAGCCGGGTCTAAGGCAGGAGTCCAGAGCTCAACCTGAGTCTCCCGTGTGGACGGCAAGGACCCAAGTACTTGGGCCATCACTGCCACTTCAGAAGGCGAGCACTAGCAGGAAGCTGGAGTTGGAAGCAAAAGCAGAACTCAAACTTGTGCACTTTGGTAGGGTGTGTGGGAATCCCAAACAGTATCTGTACTGCTGTGCCAAATGCCCACCCCTTGATTCCGTTTTCCATGCACTCTTTGAAGTGCCCCTGCACAGGTGCTTCAGACATTCCCAGATCCCCACTAAGTTAACTGCGCATCCATAGATGGTTCACACTCAAGATCTGTCTGCGGAAGTGGTAGAAATGAATGTATGGCCGGCGCTGTGGCTCACTAGGCTAATCCTCTGCCTTGCGGCGCCAGCACACCGGATTCTAGTCCCGGTTGGGGCGCCGGATTCTGTCCCGGTTGCCCCTCTTCCAGGCCAGCTCTCTGCTGTGGCCAGGGAGTGCAGTGGAGGATGGCCCAAGTACTTGGGCCCTCCACCCGCATGGGAGACCAGGATAAGTACCTGGCTCCTGCCATCAGATCAGCGCCGTGCGCCGGCTGCAGTGTGCTGGCCGTGGCGGCCATTGGAGGGTGAACCAACGGCAAAGGAAGACCTTTCTCTCTGTCTCTCTCTCACACTGTCCACTCTGTCTGTCAAAAATAAAAATAAAAAAGAAAAAAAGAAAAGAAAACATTATCATTAAAAAAAAAAAGAAATGAATGTAGAACAGTGCGCTGCATGAGTGTTCTCCACTTGCTATTCCAATGATCTTCTTGCAACAGTGACTGGTTCTTAAACAGTCACTTAAATTGCTCTCTCTTTTTTTTTTTAAGATTTTTTTATTTATTTGTTTGAGAGGTAGAGCCACAGACAGTGAGAGGGAGAGACAGAAAGAGAGGTCTTCCTTCCATTGGTTCACTCCCCAAATGGCCACAATGGCCGGAGCTGCGCTGATCCGAATCCAGGAGCCAGGATCCAGGAGCTTCCTCCTGGTCTCTCACGTGGATGCGGGGGCCCAAGGACTTGGACCATCTTCCACTGCTTTCTCAGGCCATGGCAGAGAGCTGGATTGGAAGAGAGGCAGCCGGGACTCGAACCAGCGGAGGCGGAGGATTAACCTACTGTGCCATGGCGCCAGCCCCAAACTGTTCTTTTCTCCCCTTCAGGAGCTCCTCTTCCCTCTCCTCCCTCAGGGGAGGTCTCAGCCTCGGAGTCCCTAATCTCTCTCCACTCACCTCTGGCAGATGTCATTGAGCTACGTTCCCACGGAACCCAGATTGACCTCTTTCTGGAGCCCCGGAAGCACTGTCTCCAGGGTTTAACTGCCACAGGCTCGAGGCTCCGTCTATGCTGTCCCTGACACCGTCTGCGCCTCCCCGCTCCCTCGGTTCACCTGCAAGCCTCGGAGTCCTCACAGCCACTCCAACAGGTGGGAACTGGACTGTCCTCAGGGCTGTGCCACTGCCCGCACCAACCCCTGCTGCAGGCGTGGGGCAGCGATGGGTCCCTCAGCTGCTCCTGGGGAGCTGCACTTGATGAAGTGGCCCAAGATCTGTCTCCTGGTGGCAGCCTGTGGCTGGCCCGTGAGAGGGTGTGTAGCTCTAGCCTCCTCGTGCTGATCTGAGCCAACTCCGGGGAATGTCTCTGCTCCCTGTGGGGTCAGTCCCATGAGGACTCCGCTTCCCTTTCTGCCCCGTGCTGCTGCTTTCACTCTTCCACAGCGGTCGACCCCACCAAGTCTCCCACCCACTTCCTTCTTAAGGTCTGCTTCTCATACAATCCACCTTGCAGCACTGTCAGTCACCTCTGATTTCCCCAATTCCTTCTCTTCCCAAGGGTAGTCCAAACTCTGACAGTTTTGTGATTCTATGACTCCTTTTTATTATTATTATTATTTTTGACAGGCAGAGTGGACAGTGAGAGAGAGACAGAGAGAAAGGTCTTCCTTTTGCCTTTGGTTCACCCTCCAATGGCCGCCATGGCCAGCACGCTGCGGCCGGCGCACCGCTCTTGATCCGATGGCAGGAGCCAGGTACTTATCCTGGTCTCCCATGCGGGTGGAGGGCCCAAGCACTTGGGCCATCCTCCACTGCACTCCCTGGCCACAGCAGAGAGCTGACCTGGAAGAGGGGCAACCGGGACAGAATCTGGTGCCCTGACCGGGACTAGAACCCGGTGTGCTGGCGCCACAAGGCGGAGGATTAGCTTATTGAGCCACGACCCCGGCCGATTCTATGACTCCTTTATCAAGTGCATCACCATGGCCAAGTTTAACTTAATCAATGAAAAAAAAACTAATTCCAATTGGCCTGAGCACAAGGCTATTAGAACTGAAAGCTCCAAGACTAGATTTAACTTCAGGTACGGCTTGATCTAGGGCTCAAATGATGTGATCAGACTTAACTTCTCCCTCTTCCTTCTTTGATTGTCTTCTGTCACTTTGGCTGCTTTCTCAGGAAAGCTCCCTTACCAACACCACCACTCATAAGAAAGCGGCAAATCCTAGTTTTTTTTTTTTTTTAAAGATTTATTTATTTGAAAGTCAGAGTTACACAGAGAAGGAGAGGCAGAGAGAGAGAGAGAGGTCTTCGATCCGCTGGTTCACTCTGCAATTGGCCGCAATGGTTGGAGCTGCGTTGATCTGAAGCCAGGAACCAGGAGCTTCTTCCAGGTCTCCCATGTGGGTGCAGGGGCCCAAGCACTTGGGCCATCTTCTGCTGCTTTCCCAGGGCACAGCAGAGAGCTGAATGGGAAGTGGAGCAGCTGGGTCTCGAACCAGCGCCCATATGGGATGCCGGCACTGCAGGCAGTGGCTTTATCCGCTAAGCCACAGCACCGGCCCCCAAATCCTAGTTTTAAGCATGGAAAAAGCACATCTTGAAAGCTTCAGACCCAGCCCCACCACATCTGCAGCTTCTGCTGGGTCCATGTTTCCGTCCTTGAATCCCTCACTGCGGCCAGGCGAATGTGACGGCTTTACTGGGCAGTCTGAATCACATGATCAGGCCTGGACCCCTCTGTTTGAACCAAATAGACTGAGAGTGGAGGAAAGAATGGCTCCTGCGGAAGGAAACCATGGGAACACCAACAGGGAATGGAGGCCTAGCCACGCGTGTGGAAGAGCAGCACATGGTTTCTCTATTTCTGTTTTGCAGCCACTATGGAACCTTCCTAGGATCCCCTGTTCCAGGTGCATTCTGGCCCTCCCCTCTATCCTTCAGAGCCCTTGAGACTCCAAAACACTGGCGCCACCACACAGCTGTTCCACATGCAGTCTTCAAGAGAGCCTCTCTTGCTAACAGACAAAGGCCATTGTCTTTAGCTTAGCATTCAAGGTCACCTTCTTCCAATCCACCTGCATGCAGCACTTCTTAGCCTTGGGGAGTGTAAGACTCTCCCGGAGAGATTTTTTTAATTAAATTTATTTATTTATTTATTTTTTTACAGGCAGAGTGGACAGTGAGAGAGAGAGACAGAGAGAAAGGTCTTCCTTTGCCATTGGTTCACCCTCCAATGGCTGCCGCGGCCGGCACACCGCGCTGATCTGATGGCAGGAGCCAGGTGCTTCTCCTGGTCTCCCATGGGGTGCAGGGCCCAAGGACTTGGGCCATCCTCCACTGCCCTCTCGGGCCACAGCAGAGAGCTGGCCTGGAAGAGGGGCAACCGGGACAGAATCCGGCGCCCCGACCAGGACTAGAACCTGGTGTGCTGGCGCTGCAAGGCGGAGGATTAGCCTAGTGAGCCGCGGCGCCGGCCAATTAAATTTATTTTTTTAAAAATATTTATTTTATTTATTTGAAAGGCAGAATGACAGAGAGAAAGGGGGCAGAGAGAGACAGAGAGATCTTTCATCCACTGGTTCATTCCCCAAATGGCCTCAATGGCCAGGGCTGGACCAGACGAAAGCCGGAAGTCTGAAACTCCCTCTGGGTCTCCCACATGGATGGCAGAGGCCCAAGCACTTGGGTCATT